TAATTTAATTTAAGTTTAATTATGAAATAATTTATTTTTGGTTTAATAATATAACATTTTATAAAGATAATAATTAATTATTCTGTTAGAACTCAATAATTATCCTAATTATATTTTAGATTTTTTATAGTTAAAATGAGATGTTTATTCTTTATTTGATTGTGTTTATCTGCAGTTAGTTACATGAATTCAAATATGGGAATGATTCAAGAGTTTTAAGAGTTTTAAAAGTTTTTAAGAATTTTAGCCAAATGTTTTATAAGATAGTATAGATAATTTTTATAATGACAATTATTATGTTAGAACTCAATGATTATCCTAATTATGTATTAACATTTTTATATTTAAAAAATAAGATGTTTATCTTGTATTTGATTATGTTTATCTACAGTTAGTCATACAAATTCAAAATAGAGTTTTAATAAGTTGTACTTATGCACAATTTACTAGTGATCTTAACTTATAAGTAATATGCATTGATAAACAATACTTCATGCGTAAAGAATGATTTTTAAGAGTTTTTGTCAAATGTTTTATAATATAGTATAGATTAAGTACGAATCATTAATGTACATAAAAGGGGACATCAAATAAGTTGAACGGAAAGGGGATAGCACGATGAAGTTCACGAAAGAGAAAGGGGTGGAATGAGGTGGGGGGACAGGTAGCGCAAATTAATTGCATGGATTAAAATATATTTTTAGAGATTTGATCCGTAGCGAAAATGAAATCCCAAGGGTCCTAACCAATACTTTTTAGGGTTAAGATCTTCGTGGGATTTCAAATCCAGGAAATTCTCCAACCAAACATGGGATTAAAATGACATTTGGTTCCAAATCCATCCTATAAAACCAAATGGGACTAGCGTGGGTTTTTTCTTCCTTTTTCCCCTATGCTCTGTTACCAGAAACTATAAAAAAGATCCAAAGGATATCGAACTTAGAACCTATGATACCAAATGCAATGACCCTACCAACAGGCTACAAACACTTTTGATTAGCTCAAAGCATCAAATTAAAGCAGATGCAACTTTAAGACCCTTAGTTTTTTCCAATGTGGCGGGACAATAGAGTGGGTGCACAAGTATCCCTTTACCTAAGCGTAAATCCGCCATTGAATATACCACAAGGCAAACAAACCCGGCATCAAACTACGAAAAGATCAACTTATTCATTCATGAAGAAACCCCGTGTAATGATTTAATGGTTGTCCTCCCATCATATAGGCTTCCATAGTCATCAAGAAATTTCCGAAGAAGATGACAATGATATAAATATTGAATCAAAAACTATCATTTCATATGAAGCTGATGGAATCATACAGCAAAATTTCATATAACAGGCTTTTCTAAGTATCTAGATGTTGGGATGTCATATTAAAAGCAGTCCAAACATTGGATTTGGTCATCCTATAACTTGAGTAGAAAGTTTGTAGTTTTTTATCTGAATTTTATCCTATTTTTCCGATGAAACGTATTCTATGTGACCAAACCAAACAAACTTTGTAATTCCCATTAGAGGTGGCCAAAAATTGGTCCCAGGCCGGGCCATAACGGGTTACGGCCGGTCCCGATCAAGACAAAAACGTTCCATAACCGGTCTCGGTTCCGGTGAAATCCTTCATAACCGGTCAAGCTTACCGGTAACCGGTTAAGCCGTCCGGTCCCGGTTCCAGTCCCATAACCGGTTACGGCCGGTCCTTTGCAAAAAATATATTTTATTATTATTTTTTTTTCAAATTTTTGGTAATTAATAAATTTATAATATGTTATTAATATATTTGAAATATGTTATTTTTAATATGTTTTATTATAAATATGTTTTAAAATACGTTTTGTTATATATATACGTTTTCTTTTATATATATATATATACACGTTTAATTTTATAAAAACG